TAGTATTAGTAGTAGTAGTTAGTTATTGTTTTATTGTTATATAGTTATGTATAGTAGTTACGTAGTATTAGTAATAGTAATAGAGTAGTAGTGTGTGTGTGTGTGTGTTATATATATATATATATATATATATATATATATATGTAATATATATATATATATTAATGTGTGTATATGTATAGATATTGGTATATATATATATATAGGTATCTATATACATATATATATATATATATTATATGTATTATACGTATTATATATTGTGATCGGCCTAAGGCCGTAGTACCGAACTTTAGAGTATATTTTTATTGTCTTGTGAAATTATCAATTCTTGTGGACCAAAATATTTACTCTGCCACATTATTGTATATATTTCTGTGCCCAGAAAGCAATTCTCACTGTTACCAACTACATATAGTTTACCAGTAAAGAAACTATAGAGGTAACAATGGCTTGATTTCAATCCCACAATCATAGTTTCAAGTTAATATAGCTAGTTAGTAAAGGTGGACAGGTTTGTGTCGTATGGGTAAGCAGTATCAGATCACCTGATGAATTGCAACAAGGTGATTGTTTCCTCGGCATAAACGCTTGCATGGATGAAAGTGATGGCACCACCGGTGGTTGCGAAGTTAGTAGATGAAAGGAATGTGCCAAAGAAGCAAGTTATACCTTTGCATGTAGAACCGCAGTTGTGCGGTAGAAGTCAGCATAGCACTCTCCATGGGAGACAAGGGACCTCGATAGGGATGTGGGCTATGGCCACCCTGAGCGATGGTTATTGGATACACCTGTAGTACGACAAGTCTTCCTCGACGAAGGAAACCTTTCGCGGTTGTTGCGGACAAGCATCAGGGACAGCAGATGTTTTAGCTGATGACGATGGCGATCAACCGGTGTAGGCGAAAAGGGCGCGTGTGCCCAGACCCAATGAAATGGCGGCCCATGTGAGCACATACGCACAGAGTCACGGCAAATCATGAGTGAAGACGGGGCGCGGATACAGCAGCGAAGGCTTGGACGTTGGTGCCGCTGGATTGTGGTGTTAGATGTGGCAGGCTGTATGTATGAAAGTTGGATCTCGCTCGACTGCTGCCTCTGGTAACGCTCAACAGGGCGTGTGATCGGCCTATGGCCATAGTAGCGAACTATGGAGTATAACTTCATTGCCATATGAAATTATCAAATCTTGTGAACCCAAATATCTACACTGTCACATTGTCAAATATAAATCTGGGCCCAGAAATCAATTCTCACTGTTGCCAACGTCATATAATCTACTATTAAAAGCTTTCTATTGTCAACTAGCACTTGATTTACTCTCACAATATATATATATATATATATATATATATTATTTTGTTCTGACACATAATTACCGAAATAAACACTTTGCAATTATTATTGCGCACTTGAATCACGAGCTCAAAAGCATAGTTGCACTGCTTTTTGTGTCGCAAGGTTGGGCACTGGTAGAAGCGTGACCCTTCCAGTGGGATGGAGTTTAGATTCATAATACATGACACTTAACAACACGTCCACAGGCAAATCAATTGGAGGCCATTCGTAGAATGCGCGAACAGCGAGAGTCTCAGTCGAGCACCGACGCCGAGTTTCTGCAACGACAAAGGAATAAAACTCCCTCAGGAGTCCACAGAAGCACTAAAGCATCCACTCTTTCACAACAATCGAAGCCTGTATCACCAGCCGAGTCTGTCAAGGTATGTACACAATTGTCTTTGGCCGCTGCGAATTCGGGAAAAATAATTACCACGAATCATTTACCACGAATCATTCACAAGCACAAGCACAAGGGAGACGTTCTCAAACACTTCGCACTGGACACTACAGCGACATAGAAGTTACCGGTGCAGCGTACATCGTCACCCGTTGCGAATGTTTTATTTGGGTCTGTGTTTTTGTGAGCGAGGATGTTTGACATTTCTCAGCGAGTAATTTAATCGCTCTATGAGTGCAATCGCTAGCAGACTCGTCTGCTTCTGAGAGGCTGGGTCTGTTTGATTTGAACTTATCCAGTTGATTGATTCGTACCATTCCACCGATAATAGAGTGTGCAACATCTTGTATAATTGTATAATCCGTAGCAACCCCGTGGTATCCTAAAACTCCTATGGTCATCTTTCCATTCGTTCCTTTCTTTTATTGCAGACGATATCTGGATTGATAAGATCCGATTCGATGAATCTCCGCAATATTCAAAAGCAAAGGTAGAACAATACTATTGCGTTGCTCTTGTCCATTGTGCTTGTTGTGACGCTTCCTCCGAGTGCCCTGAAAAGGTTAACTATATTCGTGGCAACCATTGCTAAATATGGGCTGTTAGAACCCCGATCCTAGCTGAAACTCGCACAAAGTCTTCATTTGTTGCGATGATCATGTCTTCACTTGTCGGTTGGTTTGCGCATTCCTGTCCACGTGCGCTGTGTTCGTACCATGCCGAATGGTCGGCTGGAGTTGTATGTGTTCGATCGAACCCTATGGCAAGTGTCTTATACAAGATTTCCTTTTCGTTTTCAGGCTTGGGCTCGCATTGGAAATAGGGAATAAGTTGCATTTTAGTGGCAGATTATCGTCTCTCTCGACATTCGATATCAAGCGAAGGGGTGAGCTTCTGGCACGGTAAGTTGACTTTCTGCCGCACAACGGGTATCTCTCACTGGTATCTTTATCATGTGCATATGGATAGTAATCGGTGCAGTTGAAACGTAGTACAAATAGGTATCTGAATGCATCAAGGTGTGCCATGAGGGTGAATCATACCTGTGTATGTCTTCGGTTGACTAGTGTACTCATATACACTGCAAATTCTTAGTTACAGCCTCTATCCGTATAAAGTGATTTGTGATGAATGTGTGGTACTTCTTTTGTATTGCAGTATCGGTTTCTTCTCCGCCCTGCGTACACAAATCTCCTGACCTAACCCTAAGACGTGGCATTTATCATTACTCTTTGCAATAAATATACGAACTTTAATACACAGAAAGCACTCAAGTGATGTAGTGCTGGCGTCAGAACAACAAACAGAGCTGAACGTGCTTCTGGCAAAGATTGAGAAAGAGAACATCGAGTTCAGAAAGGTAGGGATATGTCTGATTGGTGGTAGCCGCCCTTGTATCACCGTACTATGTGGCAGTGCGCATGTCCCTAATTCTCTATTACATTCTCTAACAGTGTTGCCTGCCAACTACGCCGGTACAGCAACTCCTGAATTGTGGCAAATAAATATTGTTATTATTTTTATTCCTATTTTTGGCTTCCAATGACTCAGGCGGAGGAGGGGTGGATCCGCAACCACAGTGCTGTGTACGACTATATCCCGTTATCTGTGTCAGCGTGGGCCAAACGGCATATTGAGAAGAAATGTGCCAGTCTAGTCCGAGATCGTAGTCGGCACTTCCAGCTGCTGAATCAGATTACTTGGTCTAAAATAGACCAGCGCGGTAGGGAGAACTATGGTTCGTGGTTGGAGGACCAACTGAGTCTGACTCCCGATTTCAAGCCTGTGATGATTGAGAGCGATCCAATGGTGTACAAAACGGTGTGGTTTGTACGTACAGATCTCACTCTGAATATATGTTACACATGGTGGCCCGAGTTATACTTTTCACCGTTACATTATCCCTATACGATATGCGTTATTCATAGAGTTGGAAAATACGTACGAATTTAATTTTTGAAACACATTCTTAACCAATCTAATTACAGTATAGATGACACTGGGCGTGACTAGGTAACCTAAACCCATCCATCGACTGTATGTCACTCTGAACAACAATGATTATGCTTCTCTTGCCCGCGTGTGTGTAGTCGAGGTGCGCCACTACGATCGAATCCATCAAATGCGATCATGTATTGTTGGCGTTAACATATTGTCGTCAAAACACTTTGATGTTGTCACTGAGCTGTGTCACTTTTGTGAATTTTCGTAGTCTGGCGGAACAAACTTTTCTCATGGCGACGATGTTTGTACTTATTTTCATATGTGCAGGGGCATGTGCTACACCTTCAGCCCAATGCGCGTGTGGCGAATGTACCGTTCGATTTGCACCATAACCCCTTGTCGTCGAGTAAACATGCAGGTATATTGATATCACGACATCCTGAATTAATATGTAGCGTAGAATCAGCTCAGAAATGATTGTCCTGTTAGATCAATCTGGGTGTTGTGTGTGATGGATATCCTGGCTCAAAACCTGCAGCATCAAAGAATTCACCGCATGACTTGTCGTGTGTCTACTGTATATGTATACAGCGAGTTGCATCAAAAACTCGTGAGAACACTTTTTGTTCACAATGACACGTGTGACTGTCATTTGTCCCCAGGGGGTGTCCAGCCGGATATGTCCTTCCTAAAATTGGCCGATGCTTTTGTATAGTGGAAATTTTGAGCCTAAACAAGTTTTGTGCTTATGCGGATCTTTGTTGTTGCTTCAATATACAGTTGTAATGAACATGTACGGCTCAATTTGTGACCTCGTTAACATGTTTGTCCTGATTGACAGAGTGTAAAACTTGTTTGTCCTGATATTGTTAAATCGTCTATTTCTGAACGTCGATACAAGGGCGAAAGTGTTGCACTATCGATGTATTCGCCTGTCGTGTGCAATGATACGGTTTGCAAGAGTACGCACCGAACACTATTCTAGTGTGCATCATAACCAGACTATTATAGAGACATAGCTGACTGTTAACCAATTCTCTACAATCTCAATCTGTGAGTAGATCCTATGTCTCAAGATATTACGAACCATCCCTCGAGTCGACAACATGCGCAAGCTGGCAACAGTGCACAAATCAAACACAGATGGATCAACAAGGTAAAGGCAAACTCTTTTACTTTCTCTCATAAATCAATAGTGTATTGACTATCCTGCCATTGGCTTGTTATACTGACATCTATAGTGCAGGAGTGTGTTAATTGGTATACGCTCACAATAGGTTTCAACTTCTTGAACACAATTTCATACATCACAGTCTGTGCCACTTTTAAGGGAAGACACCAGGGCGTTGGAGTTGGCAGCGCAGTATGAAGTTGATTTTCTGGTGACAGCTTCGTAAGTACCTCCGAATTCTCTCATAATTCTGGCTTTTTGGTATCTGCCGTGTCACATTTTGTACCGTAATTGCGCATTTTAACCTGTGATCTATCTGTATTGAAACTCGTATTCACATCCAATAGAGCGAAAAAAATTGCTGGAATACAGTTAACACTCAATGCCCAGTGATCTGATACTTTCTAGCTTGTTTAATCCCTCTTACACTACTCCTACACTACCCAGCGCCTTGGAGTGCATAGCCAGTTCCGCTCCAGCGCCTCACATGGGGTCCTGGGAAATTCCCATCAATTGTGTGGATACTAAAACAGACGTAAGTTTGCCTTAATAATTGCAGAGCGTTATATTGATGTGTTCCGCACACAAGTCAGCTATTTGAAATCAGCGACGCGATTGAGCTGCTTTGCTGTCAATTTTCCCGAACTTGCGATGCAAATGTATAATAGAAAAGACTTTCCGTCAGAAAGAACTGAAATAATATGGTCAACGCTGCACGAGTGATATCTACTTTCGTTTCTTACTTGTGTCTTCGAGGTTCATCCGATAGGGGACCCTACTACGTACAATCGAATGCTACATGTGAATGCCTACATTGACGTAACATTGAAAATCTCGCGAGCCATACTTTGAAATTGGAATATTAGTAGTCGTTTTGATTTCCAAGATTACAAGAACAAATGTACGTAGATTAAACCCTGTGTTGTAGACTATAATATGCACAATCATCTCATCTGATATCGCAGGAGAAACAATTGATCATACTCGAGAAACCGCTACCAAAAAAAACATATACGCCGAAGACCGCCAGCTGTTTTGCAATGAAGCACATGGCCCGCTCCATGATCACTCGCATAGACCACCCAACCATGGCGTTCTCACAAGACTCCGCTCAGTCTGTGTCGAATTCTGATGCCAGAAATGAACCAGTTGCTGGTTTGCAAGACAACAAACATCTGGCTGACCGTAGGGAGTCGGTAACGCGGACAGCCACGGAGAGTGTGGGCGGAACCACGATAGATGTATCGGACGATAATCTTGTGTACGCGCTGTGGTCTATCGGGAAGCACAAGATGCTGGTGCGCATGAGTCTGGCGGGCTATGTCCAGGACAGCCCGACCACTACCAGGCAAATTACCCCACATGGGTTTGATATATTTGTTGTTTTAATTAGATCCCGTTTAGAGCCGATAATATAATCCTAAAATCATTTGATGAGATGGTGCCTCTTGTTTTTCCTCTGTATGCCATAGGTGACAATTGTCGTGTACCTCAAGTAAGAGTTTCTTTATGCATATGCAATTCTGAAAGTGTGTCGTAATCATGCTGCAAATTTCTATTTAGGGTCGTTTCTGTGAGCGCCAAGCCGGAGTATCTACCTACTTGTCAAGGTATTATCGGACCAGAGGAAGAGACGGTGGAGGAAACTGCACGATGGTGGGTGCGGACTCTGCTGAGGCCCAACGCGCTCCTTCTATTGGGTGTGTTTTGGATATATCGTGTGCGATGGTTGTGAGTTGATGACTGCTCATCATTTGTGGGTCATCACTGTACTGTGTAACTTGGATGGCGTTGCGTACTGTAGATGTCTCTGGCTTGTGAGTGCAGTGACCAAGGTTATAAGAGGCTCAGTGAGTCTTTATTCCGCTTCAGATCACATGTCTATTGAAAGCAAACAGGAAGTGAATTTGCGCTCGCTCTTTCACGTGTTTTCACTGCCAGTCAGGTAGACATGTGGCAAATCATCGAACACCTGCCTTTTCGGTCGTTTCAGTTCAAAATCCAGTCTACAGACTAACTTTATGAGATACGTTTAAAATTCAAATTGTAAATGCCCGCAGCTCGGTGCGACATGATACACAACACAATGCGCTTTGAACTGCGAGATATTCTTGGACAGGCAATTCAACCGAATGCAGACTTATGGTATAAACAAATACTTCTGTGGCTATAAGTGCACATGTGACGAATTGGCTTTTTTTTTTTGCTACCCCCTTGGAGAATACCAGTACAATAATGCTGCTTATTAAGTGATTTTGGGTATACCAAACCTTCTAAAGTGCTCTCGTGGTATAGAAACAGTTGTGGATGATTTTCTGCCTCACAATTTAACGACCGCCCAAAATTTCGTACCCATGTTGCATTGTCAAAACAGGAACACGGCCCTGTTCTTATTCATCCTGCCTTACTGAGGAATAGGTATACTGAAACCCCCATAGACTTATTCTCGAAAAATCTTGACTCCTACATCCCAAATCCCAAAAATATATTCTAATTCCGAATTTTTATGTTTTGTATCCTAGGGAGTTGACATGGACAATAAAACGAAATCTTGCGCTTGTATTCAATAACCTGGCTGGGTATGATGCAATGTTTGTAGTTGTTTCCTTACAGTTGCGGCTGTGGCTGTTTTATTTTCAACCTACGATCTTGCAAGTTTTGTTTTACACATTGTCGACTGTTGAAATGCTATTGACGGAAGTCTGGATTGCTTTTGTCATTACCGGCGTGAAAACTCCACTTATCGATTTTGATACAACTCGATACGAAAGGTACTGGGCAATTGTGCTATCATGAAATTTCTCATTTCTCAACTTGTCTCAATGTATGCGGTTCAGACTGATAGAGGGCGAATATCTTTTGGCCCATGACGATGTAGCGAAATCACTTACTCTCCTGTCCGCGTGTGGGTATGTGCCAGAGTTAGTGTGTGAACGTTAATCGCGATTCTTGGACATTCTCAGTCAGAGTTCAAATATACACGATATATGTATCATACTTTGTTTTCGTGTAATTGTTTTCGCTCAGTGAGGACGAGAGCACCTATAATCTACATACGGCCCATTCACAAACCGCAATCTACAGTCAGCAGCCTCCTCCGGCGCTACATTCGGCTCACATACCGGTAATCGAGTGCGATTGAATTTTATATTAAGTTGGACTTTATGTCGACTGTTCGTTTATATCAATTGATTCTCGCGGAGACAATTCATTAGCCGCAAATGTCAATTTCTTGGTCATTGAATCCATGCAGTATTCGTACTTCCTATATCTCGTAGTCGACGATAGATTTTAGTCATCGTTCACTTTCCCTGTCTCGCTTGAAATTCGCAATTCGTATCATCTATAGCTGCATTGGGTACAGAGTTTCCGATGTTGTATGCTTTATTTCAGTGAGCCGGGTGAAATTTGCACAAAGAAACTCGCATGTCCCTTGTGAACTCATTTTGTGAACACTGATTTCATTGCTAGCTTTTCAAGACCTCCGAGGGCGATCCGTGGCCAGCTGGGCTATTCCCGCCGAGCGTGCCAATGACAATCGATGAGGCACTTGCGAAATTGCCGAAGAAGAAGTACTGTTTTGCTTTCGCCCGCGAAGGAATATGTCCTGCTCAGCAGGTAGGCGCGTCAATGAATAGGGGATCTATACCAAGAGTCATCCGTACTATCAAACGATATATGTTGATTATCGCTATGCATATCGTTAACTCAGCTTGCTAAAGTATACAATCACGACTGCCAATTTTTCACACCAATGCTGATATAAAATTCTTGGGAACGTAAGCTGCTGTTCTCATTCAGTATTGACGCCTAAAACCCTAAACCCCTAAAATAAATAAGAAAGCTAATACTTGTTCACTGAAATATACGTCCAGTGTCCATACCAGCATGTGGCCAAGACGACTTTAATTGAGATGGCGGAACAAGGCGTGAGGGGTATGCATAATGAGAGGAAGTCTATGCCGAAATCTAGAAAGACAAAATCGAAATCGATCCCGAAATCAAGAATGATGGATACGGCTCGACCCTTGATCGCACGCGATGAATTGTGATGACTTAATCGAGGTAACGAAAGCACTGTCAACTACATGAGCATACATGACGAACGTATCACTCTTATAACCAATTGAATATATATATATATATATATATATATATATATATGTGTGTGTGTGTGTGTGTGTGTGTGTGTGTGTGTGTGTGTGTGTGTGTGTGTGTGTGTT